TTTAGGCCCTTACTTTTTGAGAAGCTCTTGTAGTTGAGCCAAGTAGTACTCATTGTAAGGCAAGTCATGGCCATATCTTCTATCATGCCGATCCCACGGCGAGAGGTAAAGCCCGACGTCGACGCCGCGGGCCTTAGCCGCGTCGGCGAGCTCTCGGACGACATCACCGTGGCCATTCTTCCAAGGGCTTCTTACGACCGAATGATCAGTGTACTTGGAAGGCCACAAGCAGAAGCCATCATGGTGCTTTGCCGTGAGGATTACCAACGATATCCCGGCTTCTACGGCAGTGTCCACCCATTGGTTGGCGGCGAGGCCCACCGGGTTGAATATGGCCGGGTTTTCGTGCCCGGATCCCCATTCGGAGTCGGTGAACGTGTTGACGCCGAAGTGGAGGAACATTATGAGCTCTCTTTGTTGCCATTTCAGTTGGGAAAAGGAAGGGAGGGGTAGAATTGGCAATGGTGGGGTTGGCACCATCTCAAGGTGAGACATGGTCGAGTTGAGTAGTTAAAAGAGTGTGATTAGCCACCAACAACAACACCAAGAATTGGCCATAATGTCAATAGCCAGTACTGTGATTTAATTGTTTCTCTATTATGCCTATATATAAATACTGAGAGCAAAGCTCTTTTGTGTAATGATTTTAGCTCAATCATGTAGTGTCAAATGTCACCACCTTACGTACTATAAGGCTGAATGTTGATTCCCAATATACCGCCTTGGTGTCTTCTTTTGTTTTATTTTATGATTAAATTAGAGTCATGTGGTACTGTGGCTAATGTCTTAGAATAGAAAAACGGAGTGAGATTTTTGAGAACTTTGATCTTAGGGATACTCTCAATGGTATAGCATATTCATAATGTTATACATTAAAATTATATTAAAATTAAGAAAATGCAATTTTAAAAATCTTTAGTAAATACCTAACCATAGAATATTGTACATTATCTTTTTTTTTCCCCCTTAATTAGACCAAAAAAGTGTAAGTTTTTTTTTTAAATTTTTTTTTAAGGGTACAAGGCCGTAGGCCAGGTAGGGCAGAGGAATAATGTATATTCTTTATATATACATACATATATGTGGGTGTGTGTGTGTGTGTGTAAGGATAGGAAGAGACGTGGTAGTGAGCAAATCAACACTCGATTGGAAAGTTCTTTTGGTTCTCATTTTTTATTTTGTCGTTGTTGCATTGTGGTGGCAATTATTCACGGGTTGGCTTGCCTTTTTCCATCTTAAACGACCGTCCGGTTCTGGTATTCTGGTTTCCAAAGTTTATCATCTCTTTGAACGCATATACTAAAGAATAGCACGTTTCTATGAGGTTAACATCTATGCAAGATAATGTCAATGTGGGAGATTCTGTCAAGATTTTTTTCAGATTTTTTTTTTTTTTT